ACATGTAGACAGACGTGGCCGTATTGAATGTAATTTTTATTGATGGGCATAAAATAATTATCGAAAATACACTTTTCTTCACGCATATGATCATGGGCGCAATAAGCACCCCATAGTTTTATACAAAATATCACATTTTAGATGAAGGAGTAGTTAGCTGTACGAAAAAGCAAAGGAAGCGTCTTGACTGCAAGACAGCTGGGTTACAGCCGAAAACATCGCGGCAGAAACATCGTGGACGAAAACGTCGCGGAGAAAACAACGCAAGGTGAAAACGTCGTGGGAGAAAACATCGCAAAGAGAAAACATCGCAGTTCTAAAACATCGTGGTACAAAACACCGTCGTCGAAAATAAAGCGGTTCAAAAACATCGCAGTTTAAAAACATCGTCGTTGAAAATATCGTGGTAAAAAATAAAGTATCTACAAATCATCGCATGACGATAACATCGCAGACATGCTTTTTTCAGGCATGCTTTAATAAGTGTAAATGGATATTCCCATAATGATTTGTGAGCGCAAGATGGAAAGAAGGATAATTTTTACTTATTTTTTATTAATTAATATATTTTTGCTGAGAAAATAAAAAGGAAACTTAAGCATAGAAAATCAATGTAACTTATAACACTTAATAGAATTTTAAACCGACATAGTTAACTAACAAAGGCCATTAATAAATCATTTTTATAAAGTTTTTACTGTAATATTTCATGAAAAGTATAATCTATAAGTTACATTTAATTTTCTATGCTTAAGTTTCCTTCTTACGTTTTCAGCAAAAATTTATTAGTTAATAAAAAATGTGAAAGTAAAATTTATCCTTCTTTACACCTTGCGCTCACAAATCATTATGGAAATATCCATTTACAATTATTAAAACCTGAAAATAGCATGTCTGCGATGTTATCGTCATGCGATGATTTGTAGATACTATATTTTTTTACCACGATATTTTCGACGACGATGTTTTTAAACTGCGATGTTTTTGAACCGCTTTATTTTCGACGACGATGTTTTGTGCCACGATGTTTTAGAACTGCGATGTTTTCTCTTTGCGATGTTTTCTCCCACGATGTTTTGTAGCACGACGTTTTCGCCTTGCGTTGTTTTCTCCCCGACGTTTTCGTCCACGATGTTTTTGCCGCGATGTTATCGGCGAACACCAGACAGCTGAAGCTAAAGTGCGCAAGTTTGCAATATGGAGGCTCACCAGGCAAAGGTTTTGGTTTAGATTAAACAGGTTTCAGGTCTCGAAATTTTGAGTTCATGTTCAAGAACAGCCACATCAGTAACGTTGCGCAAACCATGCAAGATGGATTGATCTAGAAATGACGCCGTTCAAAAAATTTATTACGATTTTTAGATTAAAGAGGGGGAATTAAGGGGTTACCCGCTAGTTCAAATTACAATTTTGATTTACATATTTTTTTATCTTACATCCATAGTCTCATGAAAATGATAATAGATGCTCCTATAACAATTTTTAATAGAATGGATTCATTATTTTACTGACTAAATTTTTAAAAAATATTCATTTGATTGATTGGAATGCTGAGTCACATTTTAGGGAATAGCAGTTTTTACGGCCATTTACCAACAGAGTTACTGTATAGTATGGAGGATCTATACTTCTTTTCCGGCTGAAATAAGCATTATCCATCCATTTTAAAAAGCTGTTTTTTTTTTCGGATTTCCTTGTTTCATGAACAGTTTGTTTCGGATTATTTAAAATACGTTCATTTTATTTTTGACTTTCTACTTCACAGGATTTTCTCTTTAATGAATAATATTCGATGGCTAAGATTTATTATGGGTCGGTGAAATCAGTTTGACGGATATATAGTGCATTTTAAACCATGAAGTACTGTGAATTTGTTGAGTAATAATTCTTTTTTATGTGAAAGAAAGGCTGAAATGGCATGACGTTTGAGTTTTCATCATGAACATTAGCGGAAGGAAATAAAAAGGTCTGAAATGGCACGACTATTTTGCCACATCTAAAATACCACTCTCTGAAGTACCGAAGGTTGAAATGAGATATCACGTTATGTCATCAGTCGTCTGCAGAGAGTATATGGCAATCTACCTCTTTTTTAATCTATTTCTTGAGGAACTATAATATAATTTTGAGATCTGAATCTTAAGAAGAACATATTTTACGAAGTTAGTTAGTCCAATGAAGCAAGTGAAATTCACTACCAGAAATTAAAACTATTTAACAATCTACAGCTTACTTTAACAGTCGCACATTTTTTGCTGCTGCTATTAACTCACATTAAATGATCAAGATAAACTTTTGTGGAGGACAATTTACAGAGTTGCAAACGACAATTAGGTATAGCTTCCGGCGCTGGAAATGTACTAACAAAGTTGGTACTGAGCCTCCTCCTTTGCCTTTTGAAATGTATCATATCATGGAGGCACTAATGGACCCTTTGGCCTTTTTCAGTTCTGATTCCGGAACTGATTCTAGCTTAGCTTACAGGCTTGTTGGAGGCGCCGCTCTGTTCGAGACACGGACGAAGCAGAAGTAGCTTTATTGTTGAAGACTGATAAAGACGCTGCAGACCCTTTCTCATACAGGCCACTCTGCCTACGTCCAGCACTTGTAAAATCACTGGTGCGAGTTATAAATTCTGGTTTCATTTTTCATCTATGCATCACAACTGCAATTTATCCTCAGCAATAGAATTCCCTTGCAGGTTATTCTACGCAACATGCATTTTTAAACTTATGTCGACTCTTACTGCCAACAAGAATGTAGATACACGCTCTTTTATTTTAGACGTATTTAACATCACTGTGAGGGCCTCGTCATCAGCACTTTTGATGCAGCTTCATGCCCAGACACCGTAGATAAGATCCTGCGTAGACACCTATAAGACAGACAGTGTAATTTCGATAGTACTACTTTCAAGAGTTGCTCAGGAGGGAAAGTGGTTAATGACTCTGACTATTGAGAGCCCGGATTCGAATCACGGAGAAAGCGTGGATGTAAATTGTCTGTCCTTTCATAGGAGCCAACTATGGCTCACCTCTTAGGCGCCTTCACACTAAAGTGACTCCCGCTTTCGGCCTTATTAAGGGCGAACGCCTATAATGGCTAGTGCTAACCATCGAGGAAAAACCTATTAAGTTTACGACAAGAAGGGTCCCTAAAGGTTAATGCCTATGACCAAAATGCATTTGCTAATACATCATTCCAGCAATTCAGATAAATAATACGTTGGCTTTGAATAGCCTATGCAGAAAGACTTCCTGTTGGTTACTATGATAAGGAGTGAACTGCAGACAAGAGCACAGGCATACCTAGAAAAATTTCTGCAATGAGCCAGAAAATAAACTATAGATCTTGACTCACAAAACAGAACTGCTAGACATAGATCGCAAAGGAACATGAAGACGAAAAAGCAGCCTAAAACGTTTGAATTTTCCTGTTAAGTGTTTTGCAGAATTCAGATACTTGTGTCTTATATGTGGTGTCGATCAAGTTTCATGCCTGACACCATCCGTATGGAAGATAGTTACAAATACACCATTCCAGAAATTCAGAGACATAAAACGGGGAAAACTGCGCAGCGTATGCAGACGACATCCTGTTTATGGTTGAAGGTAGAAGTGGCCTGAAAAGAATAGCACCCGTATAATTTTCTGGTTTTAATTTTAATACATCCACTTCAAAGAACCTGCACCACGCCATTTGCGTCATTTCATCTGCAGTGCTGTGAGCTTTTATCCAATCATCATTCAAAACTGAAGCAAAGGAGCCGAGTTTATAAATACTCTAGCTGCTTTATACGCATTCTCTCCCTGTGCTTGTTCCTGCTTGAATAACACACCACACATCTTTACGCTTAGCTGTAGCTTCTACTATTTAAAATGTGATATAAGTATAGTGCAGATTCAATTCATTGTGATGAGTAATTTATACAATGCGCTTCTAAAGAATTGTTTATGTTCAAAAATAAAATACCGTAATTTCCGGAAGAAAGGCCGCATCAGCGTAAACGCCGCAATAGATTAAATTGCGCGTGACATCGTCGTGGGCCGTATAGATGCAAAAACTCAACCTAAGTCCTGATATATGACATACCAGTTAAGAAAATGCATGAAATGAAACCATAACTCAAAAATAAATTAAAGGTAAGAAATGTATAGCTTCTGTGTCGTTTAGAGACATTTTCAAAAATTTTCTGCTCCCTTCTTACTTAAAAACTATCCAACACGTACTTGTACCCAAACTGATGGGATCTGTATTTGGCAGAATGCCAAGAAAAATACATTCATGCTGAAGGGAAAATACGTCAGAGTTCGTTATTGTGAGGCAGGTGGAGTCGTGTCCGCCTCTGAAAAAAATTGCAGAAAAGGCAGGGGTGGGGAGAGGATGGGTCCTGGAAGATTCCTCGAATGGCAGAGGAGAGAGACTATTCAAACTGATGAGAATGTTGATTTGAAAGGCGGAAGAATGTTATTGTTCTGAGATCTCGTTTAGGGTGAATAAAGCATGTAGGTCCGTTCAAGGGAAAGAATGTAAACAAAATAACGTTCGCAAAAAGCAACTGAGTGGTCTTTTGTGTGGGAACAGCACCAGTCTATGCACAATGACAAGGCCATCCAAACTATGTACATTGACCATCATAGGAAATATTTTATTTTTAGTGCACCTAAACGCCGCATGGGTAGAAACGCCGCACCCGCTGAAAATTTAAGTTTTAAACACGTAAACGCCGCGGCGTCTTTTCCGGAAATTACGGTATGTTTAATCGTCATGATAAACATCTACATCTGACTGCAACTACGCAGTTGTACCTTGTAACGCCATCACCATTCCAACCGCGACTGAAAAGTAATGAGTGTTTTCTCTAGCTCTCTCATCATACAACCAAATTATCATATATATATGTATATTATTTTTTTAGAAAACTTTATAAACTTTAATTAATTCTTATATTTTCTGAACAGAACATAGATGAAAAAGAATACTTGGAAATCACTTACCAGTTGACTTCCTCCCCGTCCCCATTGTGCGAACTGTAGCATGGCGTTGGAGTCATCATGGAGTAGAGGCACAACATGCCTGGAGAAAAAAATTCAAGATACTGTTAATCTTACATTTAATTCATAAATCATTAAGTTTTTGAGCAACTATAATTTTTTATATAGTGTTTTTTGGAAGGAAAATTCAATAAAGCTTTTTTCTAATAGTAAAAATTAAGTTCAGCTAGTTCAAAGATTAATTTTCGGCAGAAATAATGTGCAAGATACAAATATGTTTAGATGATTTAACTAAAAGTAACTAAAATGTAATTGTACGAATCAATAGAGAATAATTTATATCAATATAATCTTTAGTTCAAGAAATTTCGTTTGTCCTAATTTCGGGGGCCGGCAACAGGGATCTTGTATGTTTACGTACAAAATGCGTCATGCATTAAAAAAGCAATGTGCGGTCTTTGGTCAGGGCAATGAAATCGCCGAAAACAGATTAAAAACGTTTCCGCCATGAAATCAATAAATTTTCACCAAAGGAACATTCAAATAAAAGATAGCTAAAACAGTTTCGAGAGAACGGACAAGTTTTGAATAAAGGAACTGTAAAGAGGCCAAGCGTCAGTGATGAAAATGTTTCCGTCATTCGAGATGTATTTGTGTGTAGTCCCAGTAAAGTCTAGCCTTCAAACAGGTTGAATGTTCATAAAGTTACTCAGGAACAGTTGAAACTACCTGCGAATAAACTTCAGATTTGCCAACAAATCAGACGAGTCGTTTGCAAGGAATTTTTTGCAGACATTCTTGAATGCATCAATAATGATGATAAATTTTCCCAGAAAACTGACGAAGCAAATTTTCATGTTCGAGGAGAGGTTAATCCACATAACTGCAAGATTTGTATATGAAAAAAATCCGCATTTTGTGAGGGAAAATTGAGCGAGGTAACCCTTAAATTAATGTTTGATGAGCACTAATTCATAACAAAATGATTGGTCCCTTCTTTTCTCGGAGTCATCAATTAATTAGGATGATTACTTCGATATGATGAGTTGGTTTTGTTAGCATAATTAGAAGAAATACAGCCAAATGTTTTTTTTTCAATAGAATGGGACCCTCTGTCATTGGGCTACACAAGTACGTGTTCTTCGTTGAAACATTCCCAGACTGTTGGATTGGTAGAGTTGCGCCAATTTCATAGCCACGCCATTCTCAAGAAGTCACACCACTCAACTTCGTTGGAACATCTGAAGAACTGTGTTTATGTTGCAGAGATTCGCAGCATCGCGGAATTAAAAATCGAATCACCACAGAAACAACACGCTAAAGCTTATAACCAGGGAAGAGAAATACAGAACAGACTTTATATTCTCTGAGCAACTAGTGATGCTCATGTTCAAGTGTATTAATATAAAATTCTTTGAAGTGCTAAATAAAATTCAGTAAGAATTTTTTCTCTTTCTCTTATTCTGTATTACTTAAAACATATCTTTATCCGGTGAATAAACTATGGGCAGCCTGCAGTTATCTGAAGAAACATTCCCCAGCATATACAATGTAATGAATAAATTTCTGCTGTACTTTTATCATATGTCTATGACAGTGCAAATTTTTAATTAAATCATTTTTCTCGCAAACTACATACACGCAATATTCTAATATCTAGTTGGTTTGAAACACAGTTCCAAGTTTAAATAAATTTATGCACGACCTAATTTTTCGCTAAGGGATACAATAATAATAGCCACGAATATAGTTTCCTAATTCTTTGTACTTCAAAAAAGAACTTCTTAGAACTTCGTACTTCTTAAAAGACAAAGGTAAAAATTTTAAGTTTATTGAGCCATAATCCAAATAACACCTGCAACAATAATTGAATTGATAAAATATGTCTTTAACGCTATATATTTTATAAACTGAAACAGGTTTATCTGGGTATAATTTTCCCAATTTCATGTTGATTTTTAAAATAAGAAGCCCATTAAATTAAAAAAATAATGAGAGCAAAAATTATCCGTACAAGCACAGATTTGCACATGTAGAACTGGAAAGCTTATGGTACATTTTATATTTTACAGAAGGGTTATTTTCCTTCTGTTTAATATGTACATAAACTTGAATTAAGGAATTTAAAATATGCATGGCATGTTTAAAAAATCTTGCCGGATTAAATATGTCTTTACGAAAACAACGGTTTTCGTTTTTCTTTGTCGGAAACTATAGTTATATTTTAAGATGTAAATCATATAAAGTAGGCTTTCAGACTATGATGAATTTGGTCACAGTCGTTTCAGAAAAAATAAACAGAACGTAAGCGTTTATACGTGCCCTGCAGGGCGAAAGAGTCAGTAAACCCTTCACTCGTTTAAAGCTTCCCGAAGTCAAACTCAAGACAAATCAAAATCTGAAAATTTCAGATTACAACCTATTTGTTAGATGACAGAATTTAGCATAAAAATTTTAATAAATATTTAAAAACCTGTAAAAATTATAACATCTTTAAATTGTATCTTATTTTAATATACAGATTTCATTTAAAGACCTAAAATAATTTTAAGCTGAGCAGTTACAACAGGGCTCCTACCTTAAGAATTAGTCCTCGTATTAAAGACATATTAATATTATATTTAATAATATTCAAAATAGCAAAGCCAAATAGGAAACAAAATGCTGTGATATTATTTCGTCGTAAATTAACGCTACATGGAGACTGGTGGAATTAATTAGGAAAGATATTATTTAATTCTTCAAGACGTAGTTGTATATTTATTTTTTTAGCTTGCAACAAATATTTAACTTCAGTGGCACTTCTTTCTATTTTTCCAGGAAAACAAACTGGCGAAATGAAATCAATAAACACTTCGAAAAGATTTCCTTCGAGGTGTTTAAAAATCAGTTCGGTATTAAAATTATTTAAGATATCATTAAAAGATTAAGGACTGTGTAGATTAAGGATGCAAGAAACAATGACAGAAATGAACTCGAAGAGGGTAATCTGTCTCTTTCAAGAATTGAACTCTCTGAAAATGGCATGGGTGCAAACCATTTTCATGCAATACCCTCCAAACGGTGGAATGACTCAGCTGCAGACGACGTGCAGTAGCTCTTGCACTTGTCTGAGGTGATTCATGCACAGTGTTCAAGATGGATTCTTCAATGCGAGGTTGTCGTGCACTTCTTCTTCCACTCCTAGTGTCAGAGGTGGCTTCAAATGACCCGTTTTCACACAGAGACCAATGCAACCTCTTGAACATTGTGTGCTTCGGAATAAGCCTGTTCGGATACCATTTCTGGTACAACCGTAGCGCTGCTCTGTCGTTCCCATTACCAGCACCATACATGAGATGCACGTCAGCTTTTTCCCTGTGCGTAAACTCATCCATCACGTTCGACATCAGAGGTTGCGAATGATCCATCTGATGCATCGGATCGTGGTTTGTCCAGCTCACTACCGCCCTCTACCGCTGCATTGCCAGCCCAGTCACATCTGTAGTTCCTATTGCTGTTAGTGTTCCCTTTTTTGAACATTTATTGCGAATACTGTATTGCTGCAAAGAAGCAATTTGCGTTGATTTTGTACATAAACACATTTTCTCCTCGTGTCTCTTTTTGCGTTCCTGCTTTAATGCGTCACATTAGACCCTATATTCCTATACAAAAAAATGCATGTTTTAGTACGCTCCACCCCCCTTCAAGTTTGTCCCATGATCTATGAAACACCCTGTAGGTATAACCGTCAGGTTGGCCGTTGCTGCTGGCGATACTCGGGAAATGCATAGTGTCTTCGTAAATGTGCTTCAGTAACCATCGCGCATACATTTCTGTTAATAAAATGTTTTCTGAAGTATCTCCTTTTATCCTTGCGTTAATTATTTAAATGCGACAGTGGGAAAACTATCCTTTAACTACTCACCGCTTGTGTTCCAACCATACATTCTATGACGAATATTGCTCGCATAGCTGCCTTCTATCATCCCCTAAATTTCTGTTCAATTGTCCAGATTCACCATGTATGTTTCGATCAAGTATATTGATTAAGAATCATAAACCAGTTTGTCACATTATGAAAATCTACCTTATGTGATACGTTTCTTAAGATTCGGCTACAGATCAGTGATCAATCATTTTGTTTATCAAATGGCGGGAACTTGCCTATTCGGCAATGGCGAATTCTATGGCCAGAAGTGGTTATCATTTTACTTTGGAGGCACCTAATAGGCGGCTATTGTTGCCTCCTACGAAGGGACAGACAGTTACATCCATGCCTTCTCCGGGATTCGAACCCAACCCTTTGGTATCTTAGTCGGTTCCCGTAACCCCTTGCACACATATATTTATTTTTTGCCTTTTATAAAGTCGTCTGCTCAACCGGGGCTGCCCAGCGCTGCGGCCTGGCAGCTAGTGGTTGACTCCCATCGAATTGGTAACCAATTCTGCATGGATATATCTATACCTGGGTCGGAAGCCAACTAAGCGGTTTACTCCCCTAACCCCTATACCATTTGGGAGGCTCAATGACCAATCTTTTAAGCGATACTTAGTTGTGAAATTGTTTTTCAGTTAAGTGCTTAATTTTTAAGGAATTTTTCCAGTTCAGTTTCTGAGGTGATCAAATTTAGGAACTTGGAACATAAAATAACAAAACAAAAGAACTACACCAACAGCAATACATAAAGACAACAAATACAGTGCTAAAAGTGAGTGATTGAAAAGTGTTACACTAAGTTTAGATGGGTCCACAAGTACTTACTCGTTGCTAATATTATAAATTCTGTACTTTGCTAGGAATGAATGTCTGTACATCTGCAAAGATAAAAACCAGAAAGTATAATCTTTATCTCAATGCAGTAAGAAACAAGATAGTGAGATTCATCGGCAAACGAAATATTACTTACTTTTTTATAATCTACGGCGAGGAGAATATATCTTCTGTCTGGAGATATGCTATATTGATGAACATTCATTTGTCTCTGAAAATGAAAATAAAACATATTTGCTTCACTCTTAATGTAAAATATATACATCCCTTCCAGCATACAAAAGGAAAACAGAATTTATATTAAACATATAAATTTATTTAAGTCATACTTATGACTTGAAGATATATAACATATTCGTTTGCATGAAGAGCGTAATTTAGAAACATCAAAGTTTAAAATACACTTTAAAAATTTGAAAGTCTGACTTTTATTATAATAAAGGCTCTCGCATTTATCGTAGCATATTATATTATTTTTATAAGTACTTGCTTCGCACTCACATTGCTAACGTCCACTTCCCTCCTAATTTGTACGAAAATATATTACTAAGAGTTAGAAATAACAGACAAATGCCAATTTGGACCGAACAGATAAATGGGTATCATGCCTAAAATACTGAAATGTACATGTCATATGTTCTGTTTCCGGTTAAAATTAATAATATGCAAATAATGAAACTGGGGCTATGAAGCAAAACTTTATGTCCCTTTAATTTTCGAACATTTCGATTTTTGACTTCTTGTTCTTCCAATTAATTATCTATTCATTATTCTGAATTGTGGAACATAAAATATCCTTTTATAAATATGTATCCAGCATTTTTCGTTTTACTTTAGAAATTAGATATTGTTTGCTGCTATTTATAACAATCTAGAAATAATTTTGAATACGTACTTCATAATGTCTAACCTTCATCATTTTACTGAGATTTAAAAAATTCACAGAAACCCCTTGTAAAGTTTTATTAAATAATCGATTATCCTTTATCTGTACTGTCACTTCTACTTTTGTCAGATCCCACCAAGATGCAAAGTTACGTGTATATAAGAACGGAATTCTGTAAGTTACAGGAAGATTGTCATATTAAGCACATCGTAGGAAAAACCTGTGGTATCGTCAAACATTTTCTGTCGTCCAAGGAAATTACTGTGAATTGTCTCTGAACAAAAATAGAAAGACCTATACATTATAAGGCCAATTCTATGCTACGCATCTGCAGTGTGGCAGATGTGTAGCATAGAATTACCACAAAGGCAGACTTCCACAAACTTCGGACAAAGATATATGCTTCTATATTAGTACAGAATAAGATTCTGAAATAAATTATAAATGCTCATTACCTGCTAGAGGCCCATCCTTGTAACCTATCTTTAACTGCCATTATTTTCTTGCGTATCATGAATTTTGTCTCTCGTCGCTTTCAATCTGATTAGCACACATGCAGTACAGGAGACAACTGTCTTCCCAATTTTACCTCACTTTCATGAGCGTTCTTGGAGTTTTACTTGCTAACTCGTCAATTTCAAGTTCTCTGAGAGGCTTAATTTTCTCATATAGCTTATTAAAGCTCTTCTGGAAATACATAAGCAACTTCATAATCCGTATCCCTAGAGTCAGGGAAAAAGCCGCTGATCTGCATGATACCTCTTCCTCATAAAAAATACTTTTTTCAGCTTTAACATTTTACTAGCCGCGTTGCTTATTCAAATCTTATAAGATTTTGCTTTACAAATCCAAGCATTATTGTACTTTAAGAGTCTTCTCTTAGTTTAGATACAGCAGGTAACGGAAACAGATTCTTAAGCATGAACTGCATGATGATATAACTCATTTTTTTAAATAATTCCCGAAACTTCAGGTAACATAAATATTTGAAATAATTCAAGTGAGAAGACAAATGCTATTTCTCAAAGTATTATAAAAGTTACTAATAAAGTTACTAAAAATGATGTAAAATCAGGATGTTATAATATCTGCTTGAAGTTAACGAAAAGAAACAAATTAAAATAAAATAAAAGAAAAGAAATGCTAGAATGTCAAATGCATAAAAAATAGCTTATAAAAAGATAAAAGAAACGTAACAAAAAACCATTTTATATTAGCAAGCAAAGCTAGAAATTCATTTATAAAACCTTAAGCAATTTTAACTAAATTGTAAGCAGAGTTAGAAAATAATATACAAATTTCAATAATAAAGTAAAACGCCGTTACCAAATAAAATGCTACAGAAAAAGTAAAGAAACTGGATGCGTTGTACAGCACCAAGTATCCTTACAAAGGGTGTGAATGCTTTTACAACGGATTGTCAAAAACGCGAACTTTGCTTCACCTTACCCGAAGTTCACGACCATTGATGTATTCAATGACGCACATGGAAGCGCCGACAGCGTGACATGTTTCCTGGGGAATCCAGCGTTTGCTAATAGCGCACCCGTGGGTAGAATCATGGAGGGAAACGATCGTGGAAATTTACATCCTTCACCGTAATGCCGGCCTAGCACCTAGATTGACAGTATAGGGGCAATTGGGTACATATCCAATTCACTTCCAGTCCTCACATCCGATCTTTTATCTAGCCACCTGATGCTGCTGAGGTTTTAATGATCATAGCTGCCCTGTGCCACAGTTTCGGGTTTTCGTTCTACCATTTTTCTACAGGACACTGCAAGACCGTATGTTTCCCCCACATCCCTACATTTTCTTAATACACAGAATATTCGACTTCAGCTTTGGCCAGGATTTCTCAAGATTACTCACCAGTTGAAAACAACAAGTGATTGCAGACAGATTTGAATGACAATAATCGCCGGCTAGTATGACAGATGGACTCAAGCGCAGAAGACACATTGACAGCAATACCCATAACTGCCCTTTAAAGTCTATTTCGACTCCATGTCCAGTCGTATGACTGCCGCTATTATTGCAGAAATAGATGATCGAGGTACTGATTTCTGCAAATTCTGTACCTCAAAATAATCACACATTTTAATTAGTTCATCATTCCATTATAATGTATTTTTAAACTATAATTGCTTTCTTTAATGGTATAGCGATTTTAGTAATTATCTGTGTATGCAGGTTAAAAAAATAAATGCTGAAAATAAATCCTATCCATTTAGGTTTTTTTAACATTGACGTATTTTTATAAATGCGATCAAATTATTGTTTAATAAATTGTAACAAAATCATAATAGGGCTAACTGCCTAAAATGAGGAATATTTTCGTGGAGGTCTTTCTAAGAGAAACTGACTCATATTCACGCAAATAAACTATCTTTGTTATAGTTTAAATATAAATTGAATAAAATTAAATAAATGTGCGGAATTATGAATTAAGTAAATGTGTCCATTCCCGATTTATGTTGAACATTTCCGATCTATGTTGGAACAAGTTTTTTATAATGAAAGTTATTTAACAAATATTATGCATTTTTTAATTATTTTATCCAGCGTTATAAAGACTCCAAATTACTTTAAAGAGGATTTTCAAAAAATTCAGAATGCTCTGACAGACAAGTTTATAAAATTGTTTATTGACTAATACTATAATGCTAAATTAAAAAACAAATACACGACACAAATGATTTACAGCTGTTTGAGAGCTACCTGGTAAAAACAGAAGTTATGATATTTGTAAATTTGAAATAATTGTAGGTGATTATTATTAGCTGTTACATTTGATAATGATTAAAATCAAATGTATATAAGTTTTTCATTAACATTTTACTGAATAATCATAATGAAAAAGTAATTAGAAATAATTATTTAAGTAAGTGGACATAACCACTTTCTAATGATGATTTCTAAAGTTAAAAAAAATAAGCATTCTATTAAATATTTTTTACTCATTTTATTTCACACAATATTAGTTGACGTTTTCTTCAATAGATGCAAGGCATTTGATGTAAACAATTTACTTACAAATGTTGTGTTAGGCATGACGACCGTCCTTTGAAGAGTGTCAGCGTCGAATATTGTAGCTGCTCCGTCAGCATCTCTGTATAAAAATTCATGATCTGAAAAAGAAAGAAAATAATAAAACAACAGCTATTTTTTAACTCCTACAATTATCATAAAAATATATAATTTAAAAAAACCCTCAAAATATTAGAAATAAAAAGACAAGAAAACATTGTGTTAGGAAGCTGAACACTGATGTGATTAACTGAAAAAAGAATGATATTTATGAGGATTCTATAAAAATGAACGAATAAATAATATAAAATAAAGGAACGATAATTCGATAAAAATATTTAATATTTTTAACTAATTACATCATGAATTAAATGCAATTTTATTTAAACCAATCAGGTTTAGGAAATGATATTCTTAAGAATAGTCCTAATAATATTCTTAAGAACTGCATCTATAGCTTTTCAATAGTTTAGCTTATTAATAGCTAATAACAGACAGATTAAATATAACGTATTTCAAAAAGAATATACGTATTTCAAATGTATATATTTATTAAACTGTATGACATACAAATATGAAACTTTATACACATACATACGAACCTCTCAAGTTCAGATTAGAGATGTTACAGATGTTCAGTATGTCCTCCATCAGCGACACGAACAATATCACATCGATACTCAAATTCCTCCCATACTCGGGCAAGCATGTTCGTCGTCACTGATGACTGACTATGACAGTACTGACTATGACAGTACGAATCCGATTCTTCACCTCTTCCAGATTCTGTAGGAGTGGTGGTACATAAACATTGTCTTTAATGAAACCCCACAGGAAGAAGTCACAGAGTGTCAAATTCGAGAACACAAAACCAGTGGCGTAGCAAGCATAACTGGCGCCCGGGGCAAAATACCATTTTGGCGCCCCCCCCAAAAAGAAAAACTTTCAGTATATAATGTATAGAATATATTCGTAATAGGAAAATAATGCAAATAATAATAAAATGCTAAATCTGCCATAAAATACTCAAAAATATATTAACAATAGTCACTACCTAACTACACTAGCCTTGGGTTCGGAAATGCATCTGTGTCGGCGAAAAAATCAGACATACGATGATCTAGAATTAGATAAAAAGCTGTTATTTATTTTACATATTTATACAAGTGTTTTTAAAAAGTACAATTTTTAAACAATTAAAAGTAACGATACATTATAGATAAATAGATATGTGGCAACTTGCCTACTACAACTCAACTCTGCCAGTCTGGTAACCCATATCAACCAAAAACATTCTATTCAATTGTTATAATTATTTAACGATCTGTCTAAAAAAATTGTACTACCATAATTGGTGACCCGTATTTATTACGAGTAGCAATCTTCAATATTGCACGAATATGCACCTGTGATTTCAAGCGTTGTGCCACATTCCGATGAGTCAATATACACTCATGTCCATAAATTAAGGATAATGCAAAATCAGGCAAAGGAAGACTTAGAAGCAAAACAAATTTGACTTATTTGTAAAGCTTATTTATTAAACAAAAGGTAAAGAGCAAAAAACGATGCTATATGTTTAATATTATTAAAAAAAATAGCGATTTTTTCTCCCTGGAGCAAATTACAAAAAAAAAAAAAAAAAAAAAAAAAAAAAAAAAAAAAAAAAAAACTATTTACCAAAAAAAATATTACATGGTTGGTATGATTTTTTAATACATTGTATGTCTCCCAGACGATGCAATACAGTCCGTACAACGCCTAGGCATGCTGAGTATCAAATTATCGATCTGATCTTGGGGGATATTACATCACTCAAAAAGCAATGCTCTCCGAAGTTCCGGTAGACATGTAGGAGGAGGTTGACGGGCTGCAACTCGTCGGCCAAGCATGTCACACACGTGCTCTACTGGATTCAAGTCCGGTGAGAATGCTGGCCAGTCCATACGGGTGATATCCTTCCATTGAAGGCATTCACTTACGATGTTTGCACGGTGAGGACGGGCGTTGTCATCCATAAACACAAATTGTGCGCCCATGGCGCCCCGAAAGAAACGTACATATTGTTCCAGAATAACGTCCCGATAGATTTGGCTTGTCATGGTTCCAATTTGAACACGCAGGTCAGTTCTGGAACCCAGAATAATTCCACCCCAAACGAGCACTCCGGCACCACCGTAACGGTGTCGTTCAATGATGTTTTCTTGGTGGTAACGGGTACCTGGAGCTTTCCATATGAAAGTCAGGCGAGAATCAGACTGCAAGCTAAACCTGGACTCGTCGGAAAACATCACACAAGCCCACTGTTGCGGTGTCCACAATGCATGTTCTCTACTCCAGGATAACCGGAGGCGACGGTGAGTTGCAGTAAGTGGAACGCATCTGACAGGTCTACGAGCATATAGACCAATGTGCCTTGGCAGTAACTGCCAAATACCGGTCCTCATTCGGCGTCGTTGTAACTCTGGGGCGACCTGTGCTGTAACGTCTACTCACATTACCATCATCTTGGAATCATTGCCAAAGCCTGGAGATGACACTTTGGGCAATTCCAAGTTCGTCTGATACTTCCAGTTGGGTAGGCCCACATTCCAGACGGCCGATAATTCTACCACGTAAAAAATCATCCAAATGCGTCCTTTGTGTCATAACTATTCGGTTATTGCACTGAAATGCTTATAAAGCGGCTGCGAACAATTTTACTTCTTTGCCTGTATTCCTTGTATATCACTCTCTTACACGCTCGTCATTGTGACGTACCATCGGTGTCATCTGGTTACTTCCTGAAATTTGCATATGATTCTTGAAGACGTGTGTAGTGATTTTACAGGTGATATATTTATTTTAGATTCCGATTTTCGCGTGACTCCGAATTATCCTTAATTTATGGACATGAGTGTATTTCTGTCATAATTTGCTGCATTTGAGCCGCCAAATTCTCTGATTTCAAGTACCAAGAAACTGTGTCACTATATACATATTGATTATTTTTCTATACATATTATTACTGTGCATATTTGATTGATCTAAAGTGGTTGACAACGATGCTGTTTCACAATTGGCATGAGCGGCAGTTAAGCCACCGCCTTTTTGTCGCCGAGACCCATCGTTATGGTTCATTCAATTGGATGCGCAGTTTAAATTGAGTTACATTACTGTCGGCGAAACTCTATTTTATACAGCGATCGCCGCGTTAGAATCAGAGGTAAGGCAATGCAGCTCGTGAAATAATTTTGAATTCCACCGGGCGACGGACAAATACAAATCTTTAAACAAAAGGTTAATTTCTGTTTATGAAGAATCCGAGATAGTTACACAATCAAGCAGCTTGTTGCACGATTTACATGGTTGAGGTGATATGAAGGCCTTCTTAAGTTGCTATCTAAAATGTCAGACTTAGCCGCCGGTAACCTTAACGGATAACATTCTTAAAACATTATGGACGAATAGACGCCCATCTAACATGCAAACCATTTTAGCGGCCAGTAGCGAGCCAGTTAACAAATCTTCCCTGAAATCGCTGATAAAATTCACGAACTGGCCATTACCTGCGCAAATACACGCAGTGCAGGCTCCTGGTCCAGGTATTGCGGCGTTAGAGGCTCAAATTGATGATTTGTCCAAACAGGTTGCTCAGTTAGTAGCCATCCAAGCTGAACCTTTTCACCGCAACCGCTCCACATCACGTGATCTAAAATACACGTCCTAACCCACTGAAGAAACGTTATGAAAGCCAGGTATTCATAACCCGGGTATTTGTTTTTTACCTACAAATTTGGAAAACAAGGCAAAAAAATGCCACCCTCCGTGTGACCCACCGTGCCAACAAAATGCCACCCACCGTGACCAGGAAACGAGAAGGGCCGTTTGGTCGAAGTCATGAATGACAGCGGCCGGAATTTTGCACGCCTTTTCGTCATCGAAAAGAATTCGGGGGCTTAAGGTTTCTTGTAGACACCCGGCTGATGTTTCTGTAGTTCCACCACATTTTCACGAACAAAAGCGCTTTATTAAGTTACAACTTTATATAGCAAATGGAACTCCTATTCAAACTTCTGGTGAACGCCTGATATATGTAGATTTAAGATTGCGCCGCAACTTCCAATGACAATTTATTATTGCTACTGCCCTATTATTGACGCTGACTTTTTACATAAATTTCCTTTGCTTATCGATATTAAAAATCGCCGTTTATAGATTCCATAACCAACTTAACTTATCATGGAGTAATTTGCAATAGTGAAGATTTGAGAATTAAACTGATTTCGGGTAACTCCCCATGACATCAACTTCTCAGAGAATTCCCTACAATCGCGCGCACAGTTATGGGTATTTCCGAACCCAAGAACGATGTACTACATTATATTGAAACTAACGGACCTCCAATTGCCGCTAAACCTAGACGCTTACCTCCGGACAAGCTTAAAGCCGCCAAAGAGAAATTTTAATACATGATGGAAAAGGGAATTTGCCGTCTTTCAAAAAGTTCATGGGCCAGTCCGCTCCATCTAGTTCGGAAACAAAATGGTAAGTGGCAATTATCGCCGGTTAAATGCAGCTGCAATTTCTCATCGTTACCCAATCCCGCGCATTCAAGACTGTATGCAAGTTTCAGAGGGAAAAGCTATTTTTAAAACCCTTGATCTTGAACGGGCTTATCAACCAAATGCCCGTTAACCCAGCTGATATTCCAAAAACTGCGGATTTTACGACTTTTGGACTATTTGAGTTCCCGGTTATGACTTTCGGCCTATGTAATGCTGCTCAAACGTTCCAACGCTTCATGAATCAGGTGTTAATCGGTCTTGACTTTTGTGTACCTTATTTTGATAACGTCTTAATCGTCTGCTCTTCAGAGCAAGAACATGAGTTTGAGAACAGTTCTCAAATGTGAACATCACATTTAAGAACAGTTTTTGAACGTTTTCAAAGGTACGGTGTTAAGTCTTAATCCTTCCAAATGCGTTTTTGGTCAACCAAGAGTATCCTTTCTTGGTCATGAAATTTCCGCTGATGGCGTTCAACCCCTTCCAGAGTCACCGCTATCCGCGATATGCCCGAACCATCTACAGTGAAGAAGTTAAAAAGATTTCTTGCTATGCTCAAT